TTTGGATCAACCAGAAATAGAGATGCCAGATCCAATAGGCAATATGTGTAACGTGTTCCCATGCTGCAAGAAATAAGTACATTTGTTAATCAAAAACTAATTCCAGAGGGCATTTAGTGTCTGAATACTACATACAATAATGCAGCATGTGTTACCCAAGAATATATAAATGTGATTTGTTCTGAAAATCTTGGTGGATCTGGGAATTTTAACCAGCAAAAATATGGGGTCTCAGGGCTGTTGCATGCCCCCCTCCCACCCCCCCCACTTATCCCAATTTTAATGGGACTCTCCTAGTTTTAGTGCTGGTATTCACATCTGTGAATACCAGTGAACAGCCATCATAGTGCAAGAGCATAATTAGATGATCTTGCGGCGTGTTGAGGTACATAGGACCCTGCAGAGGGTGCTCTTTGCAGGTGGGACAAACCTGGAGACTGTCCATCAGCCTGGCGTGCATTCAGGCCAGGCTGGTGTGCCCTTTTTGCAGGCAGCTATACCCTCTTTATGGCCAGGACTGCACATTTTTGTCACTGGAATGCCCCTTTCAGGCCTGCCCACCCTTGTCCCTGTGATAGGATATATGCAGTTGTACCACTTTTAGTTCTTTGGACCACAGATGCTCTTTATACATATTGTTCATTGTCCGTCAGCATCCGCTGAGGCTCTCAAACATGTTGATTTTCACACATAACTCATTTGCATTGGAGCTTTTTTGAGTAGGATGAAATTGAATTGATTGCAGTAAAAGTGGAGATGGGAACATCCAGATAAGGATTTTAGTTGATGGCGTTGGATTTTTATTCTGCGGTTTTACGCCACTATATGCTTAATGAACAGAGTCACTTGATTCAGGTCCGTCGTGTTTGGTTTTAGCATACTAATAAAGAATACAGAGAATATTTCGTTCTGCACTGAATCGCCATGGACCCCTGTTCATGTAAATCTTCAACATATTAACCCTGTGTGACCCTTTATAAAAGCATTAAATATTGTGAAGAGCCTCATCAAAAACGTTTCAAGATGACAAGATCGAATATAAAGCAAGGGCCACTGAGTGTCTGTAATAGAATAATCTAAAGATTTAACCTCTATTCTCCCAGAGGGATGTGAATCCTTGGCCTTGCCTGGTACAGTTAGCTATCATTATCCTCGTACTGTTATATCCTTTTCCGCAAGCCCAACATGTTCTGTAAACCTTTCACACTTGGTCACAGCGAGGCTGGCAGCGCTGCCTGGAAATGTGCATTTTTCTGATTTATTTCAGTAATAATCCTCTCACATCATTTCACTTTATGCTGTTCCTGTTCCTCCTATAAATATGTAACATTCCCGGGCATTCACACAGAAATAGAATAACCTCCTGCCCCTTCCCTAGAAGACAGAGAGGCAGATGGCTGCCAGAATATTAATGTGAAGAGAGAGGTCTTGCTGGTACTGTGGGGGTTAATTGAAACCTTTCTTAACCCACTGCCTGCTGCAACGCAGTTAATTGGTGTGTGTGATGAATGTTGTGTTGTCGATCCTACGAACCTTAGAGGCTTGAGCCAAAAATTGGTGATTTTGAACCTATACGGCGGCCGGAGATATTAGAGTACTGCTGTAGTGCTTGTAGTTTACGAGAACACTGTGATAGATTAAGTACATTGCTCCCCGCACTGTAGTCTGTGTTTCCCACCACAATTGCTGGTATCTCATGTAGTCTATCACTGCATGAAGAAGTGTACTAGTCAGTTTCAGATCAATAATATTTTTTTAATACAGTTTAGTTCTTTCTGCTGTTGTGTAGTATATGAAAGTCCTGCTCTGTGGTATGTAGCATTCACATGCTGAAAGAGGACACATTGGGGCTTCTGCATAAGAAACTGTTTGTTTTTTTAAATCCATTTTGTGCCATAATGTTCTGACTGTGCAATTTTCTCCATGTATATTTTAATACTGTTCTTTATACATTTCCTCAAATCTGTCATCATACTAGATGTGACATACACTGGCATGTCCCCAGCCCACCCTTACATTTAAAACCAATAAATTAATAAATAAACTCAACCTAAACGCAACTTAATAATCCATCACAATAAAAGTACATGCCTGTTACCTACTTTTACAAAAGTCTGAATTTTGTCCAGATCCAGGAGCAAGTTAATAGCAACTTTGTAAATATGGTGTTATCTACCAGTTCAGTGGATAGATAACAAGACAAAACTGTATTCCTAACAATACAGTGTCCCTCTGCCCCCCTCCACCCACATTAGGCCTTCCTCATAGGAAAGCATTGACTCTATTTTTTTCATTTTCTATGGGGTTTTGCAAGACGTTGGACATCCTCATGCACAGATTGAGGACGTTCAGTTCAACTCTGTGACACAGCTAAAGCGCCTCTAGTGTCTGTCTGGTAGACAGCCACTAGAGGCAGTCTTAACCATGCAATATAAACATTGTATCTCTAAAACTGCAATATTTACAATGAAGGGTTAAGTGGACAAGGACCCAGATCACAATGCAATGAAGTGATTTCGGTGCCTATAGTGTTCCTTTAATCGTTGAGCGGATTCCTAAGTCATGCCA